GGAGATGCTAGACAAACACTTCTTCACGCTCTCCTGTAGATAGACTCCCAAAGGGTTGTTGACTTAGGGGCCTTTACTTACTGTCCTCCTGCTGGTGCTGTTAGGTATACCAGTTTGGTGAGGAGGGGGCTAGGGGCTAGTTGATGTGTGTGAAGGTGGTTGAGAATGGGTGAGGTTAGGTTAGGTTTCTGAATTAAGTCTTCATTAGATGCTCTATTCAAGACCGTCCACCACACAATATATATTACCCCATGCTTGGTTCTTATGCTAATTACCATGTGATGGGAACCTGAATCTGTTATCTCTAGACCAAAATCAACTCTCTTTGTTAAATTCCAGTAGATTATGTGTGTGGCTGAGGCATAAAGAGACGAGTGTGGTGAGCCAGACCTACATGTCATATTGTGGCGCTTGTCTGGTAATCTGTTGACTGTCTGGCTCAATACACCCTGAAAGCAGTGTATTATGTGGTGATGTATGTATAAGCTACATGTATAAGCTGTTGTATATATATAAGTTACTTTACATGTATGAACTGATGTCTATGTATAAGCTACGGTACATGTATAAACTAGTGTATATGTATTAGCGAGAACAATAAGGGTGGTTGGTTAAACTTATACTAACAAGTTCCCTCTCCCGAATGAGGCTGAGGATGAATAGCGAAAAGCAACAAGTCAACAAACTGTTCTGTGATTAGCGAGTCTGTCTGTCTGTCTCTCTGTCGGCAACTCAAACACACACTTATACACACAAACACTAACACACACAAACATACACACACACTTCTCTTGTCATTACTTTTGTTGGTTATAATGCTACGTGTTTTTTCTGTCCTAGGAGTGTAAACAAACATTTTTCTTTGAGGGTTATCACCACCACCACAACAACAATAAAAACAGCAACCACAACCACCACCAGCCCAACAACAACAACCACCACCACCACCACCACCAGCCCAACAACAACCACCACCACTACCACCAGCCCAACAACAACAACCACCACAACCACCAGCCCAACAACAACAACAACAACCACCACCACTACCACCAACCCAACAACAGCCACCACCACTACCACCAGCCCAACAACAACAACAACAACCACCACCACTACCACCAGCCCAACAACAACAACCACCACAACCACCACCACCACCACCAACCCAACAACAGCCACCACCACTACCACCAGCCCAACAACAACAACAACAACCACCACCACTACCACCAGCCCAACAACAACAACCACCACAACCACCACCACCACCACCACTTCAACAAATCATGACTCCAGAGACAACACAAATATTCCTCGCCCACAAGTTATTACCAAGTCTGTAGCTGTGATCTTCCCTACACCCCGCCCCTCAGGTGTTATACATGTGATCTTAAGAAACATTAGAGTATGAGAAGTTTTGTATTCTCGTGGGGAAGCTTTTAACCAATAGGCGTCGTATGTGGGGGTGTGGGTGTGGGGGGCAAGTGTGAAGGTGTGAGAGAGAGAGATCGATAATGAGAAACATACATAGACTGAGAGACACCTATCCTGAGAGACACCTACCTACCTACCTACCTACACCACCACTCCTCTCTCTTACCTTACACATACGCAGTGTAGAATGCTCCCCTGTAGACGCTGTAGCCACGACTGTTAGAGCAGAGGCGTGTGTGTGTGTGTGTGTGGCGTAGAGGAATAATTTTAGCTGACCGCCTCGGGAGATTTGATGCCACGTAACAGGAAAAGTGACCGCAAAATGTTGGTGCTCTTTCCCTCCCCTCCGGGTATGTTTGGGTTAGTGTCCTTCCTTATATGTGTGTGTGTGTGTGTGTGTGTGTGTGTGTGTGTGTGTGTGTGCGTGTGTGTGTGTGTGTTTACCTGTTTGGCTTCTCTGTTTTTATCAAATTTTTTTCTTCATATCTTAGTTTTCTCTCTCTCGTCTTCTCCTTATTCCTCCTTCACATCCCTATCCATTTTATTCCCCCTCTCCTTCCTCCCTTTCTTCCTCTATCCCTTCCCTCCTTCCTCCCTCCCCCTCCCCCACCCTGTCCATCATTAGCTAATACGTAATATAAATTCTGTCACTTAGGATCACTTGCCTTGACCACCTCCACACACACACACACACACAGTCAAAATCCTTCATCCAATGTGTCATATTTTTTCAACCCAATTTTTATATAGTTAGTTTATCCGGGTTACACGAAGGAGGGTGTTGGAGGAGGGTGTTGGAGGAGGGTGTTGGAGGAAGGTGTTGGAGGAGGGTGAAGGAGGAGGGTGAAGGAGGAGGGTGAAGGAGGAGGAAAAGAGGCTGATATTATTGTGGTGGAAGGAAGAGACAGAACCTCAGCATGACTTGTGTAATGATTAAGTGTTGCTATATTGGTGTTTTCCTCCGGCGTGTTGAGGTGAGGTAGGGGGGGATGGCAACACTTAAAGATTAGGATGACTGAGGATGATTAGGATGACCGAGGATGATTAGCAATGACTGAGGATGATTAGGAATGACTGAGAATAACTTAGAATGACTGAGAGAATTTTTGTAGCGATTTGGAATTTTGTTGATATTTAGGACATTTTTATAACGATTTAGAGAACTTTTGTAGTGATTTAGGGAACTTTTTAAGGATTAGGGGAATTTTTGTTAGAATTTAGGGAATTAGGAACACACACGAACTACACTACCTAACGGGGGAATTTAGGTCAGGGTAAATTGCAGGGAAGGTCACTGTAATTGGACTAGGGATGGAAATGATTACGGGGATCAAGCATAGTGTTTAATTTGTACTCGTGGAACCATTAGGAGGTGGGAGGTGGAAGGGTGATGGGAGGGAGGGTGGGGTGGAAGGGATGATGGGAGGGTGGGAGGGATGGGAGGGATGTGTGCTTGCAGTTGTGAGATCCAAGTAAATGATATGTTGGACTTCACAGGGAGAGAGGGGGGGTGAGTGTGTGTATTGACTTATCGAGAGACGGACTTATTTCTGGTGGGTGATGAGGGTAAAAATTGTGTCACTTCTGTTTGTTTTCTTTGTTTTGTTGTTTTGTTTTGTTTTAGGTAATTAGGTTAGGTTAGGTTAGGTTAGGTTAGGTTAGCGCTGGTGGAGGATTAACAATGATTTAGCACCTGGTTGTAGACGGCCATTAGAGCTCTGACTGCTGGCTGGGTGGCTGGGTGGCTGGGTGGCTGGCTGGCTGGGTGGCTGGGTGGCTGGGTGGCTGGCTGGCTGGCTGGGGGTGGCTGGCTGGCTGGGTGGCTGGGTGGCTGGGTGTATCTCAGTGTTTATTGTGCACATGGTGTTGTGTGTGTGTGATGGGAGGTATAGAAAGAGGGAGGGAGGGGGAGGGGGCAAGGTCAGGGAGGGAGGGAGGGAGGGGGGGGGAGGGAGGGAGGGGGCGGGCAAGGTCAGGGAGGGAGGAGGGAGGGGAGAGGGAGGGCAGTAAGGAAGGGACAGGGAGAGAGAAGGAGGTCAAGGAGATAGGTAGGTAGGGACGGCAATAATGGAGGGAGGGAGGGAGGGGGCAAGGTCAGGAGGGAGAGGGGAAGAGGAAGGAGGGAGGGAGGAAAAATATGTAACGTTGTAGGGAAATTCAGCAACATATGTTCCCACTACCCGGGTGTGGCAGACAGTTTCCCTCCCTGTGGTAGCGAGGTTGTCGTACCGCTGAAAAAATATGACTAGGAAATATTTCATATCTCCCTCGCACTGTTTGTCTGCTGCCACCCTCATAGTGTCTGTCTGCTGCCACCGTCATAGTGTCTGTCACCACCTTCAAAATGTCTGCCTACCACCACCCACTCACTGCCTGCCACCACCCACTCACTGCCTGCCACCACCCTCAAATTATCATAGGTCTCTATATATAATCATTATCTCCAACTAAGAAAATACTAACACCTATAATCTTAACCTACGATAAATTATACCAGAGAAAATATTATAGGATGAATAATTTATTTATATTTTTCGGAATCCAGTCACAGTTTACAGACGTTGGTAACACTGCTGGCCTCGTCCGGGGTGACTATAATGGTAACACTGTATACTCGGGCGTTTAGGGGTCTGTTTACTCTCTCTCTCTCTCTCTCTCTCTCTCTCTCTCTCTCTCTCTCTGTCTGTCTTGTGGTGGTTCAGATGACTGTTGGCATTTTCTGTCTGTCTGCCTGTCTGTCTGTCTGTCTGTCTGTCTGTCTGTCTGTCTGTCTGTCTGTCTATTCCCCCATCTTGTTCTTGTAAGATGTAATATATAAACACATATCTTATTTGAAACATTGATGAATGGACGGATGTATTGATGGATGGACGGATGAATGGACGGATGTATTGATGGTGGACGGATGAATGGATGGATGTATTGATGGATGGACGGATGAATGGATGGATGTATTGATGGATGGACGGATGAATGGATGGATGTATTGATGGATGGACGGATGAATGACGGATGTATTGATGGATGGACGGATGAATGGACGGATGTATTGATGGATGGACGGATGAATGGATGATGAATGGATGGATGGACGGATGGACGGACGGATGAATGGATGAATAAACAGACAGATATAACTACAACATCTATAAACCCTCCCCTAAAAAAAAAAATAACCCTGACAAACTCTTTTAAAACATTCTTGTAAATTATAGTAGACGCGAGCTAAGAAAATTACTAAATATGCCTGAAGTAATAACACCAGATATATATATATATAGCTCATTTACGGGGTTATTTAAGAGGGCAGAGGGAAAGGGAATCACATGCTTGGCCGACGTTAATCTCTGGGGGTGATACGTGAGGCAGAGAAGGTGATAATACGGGGGAGAAATAGGTCAAATATAAGGGTGATTTTAGTAGTATTAATAGAGATGGTTTTGTTCATTCTTCTTATGTCTTAGTTAATTAGTTACAATATCCATAAAGTATCTAAATAGTCAAGATTAATTAATATTTCTTTGTCTGGTATTTTTTGGGGTAAAATGCATACACACATACACGCGCGTACACACACATACACACACACACACACAGAAACGATGAAACCCAACAATCCAATATATATATTTTTTACCACTGAACACATGACAAGGAAAAGTTCCCACGGGTTCCATAGTGAAGGGGGAATATGTGTGTGTGTGTGTGTGTGTGTGTGTGTGTGTGTGTGTGTGACATAACCACGAAATTTACATTGATATCACACAAAAATTAATACAAAATCTTCTTACACAAACAAATTTCTTTATCAAACTTATATCACCCGCCCCTCCTCCCCTGAATGGCGACCTGGTGTATAGTGACTCAAAAATACACGCATACATTAATCTATCGGCCATCAGGTTGTGTATTCCCATTTATTCCCTAAAAATTAGTATTCTCGGTACAAAAAATACATCCTGTATTTCACTAAAGGTAGAAAAACATGAGAGGCTGTATTATTTTGTATTGGGGAGAGGAGAAGAGGAGAGGGGAAGGGAGGGGAATGAAGGAGGGGGGGGTGGGGAGGGGAGGGAGAGGAGGGAGGAGGAGGGAAATATATGTTTCATTTTATTGAAGGGAAAAATAAATTGTATATACAACCAAAGACTGGAAAATAATACAACCCTATATTGTATTATATTCGAGAGTAAATGTATTGTAAACTGTATTATTCCTAGAAGAAAGAAAATACAATTAAATGTATTTTATTAGTCGAGGGTGAAAACAGTTCTTGTGGGGGGTAGGTGGAGGGAAGAAGAAGGGAAGAGGAGGGGATGGGGGTAGGTGGAGGGAAGAAGAAGGGAAGAGGAGGAAGGGGTAGGGTGGAGGGAAGAAGAAGGGAAGAGGAGGGAAGAGGAGGGAAGAGGAGGGGAAGGGGGGGTAGGTGGAGGGGAAGAAGAAGGGAAGAGGAGGGGAAGGAGACAACCAATAATTATGAGGGTCATTAAGTAATTAGTAATTTAAGTGTACTTTAGGCGAAACTCCATAGTGTTTATCCCTTGATACGGAAGCTTAAATTAGGTCGTGTGTGTGTGTGTGTGTGTGTGTGTGTTGTGTGTGTGTGTGTGTTGTGTGTGTGTGTGTGTGTGTGTGTGTGTACATGATGTGCTTTTTGTTTCTCTATGTATGTCTTTTTCATTCTTTCCGTGTTTCTTTATCATTCTTTCTCTCTCTCTCTCTGTCCTTATCATTGTCTGTCTGTCTTTCTGTCTGTTTGCCCGTCTGTCTGTCTCACCCATCTCCCTCTTCTGTTATTCACTGTCGAACCTTCGCCAGTAGTAACGTAAACATCCGTACAAGTTTCATTGTGAGGCGAAAGAGAATGCCAGACGCTCATGATTGCCCGTGCTGGAATAGATTCAGTCTTAATAGCATAGATCGCTTTGGGCGTAAAGGAGAACCGTTTATATATATTTATTTTGTAACGTTTTAATTTTTTTCCGACTAATTTCACTATATAAAGTTTTAATTAAATTTTATATAGTAATTTTTTATCGTTTTTGTGGTATATATATATGTGTGTTGTGGATTACCTTACCTGAAACCTAACCTAACAAAACCTAACCTAACCTAACCTAACCTTACCTTAATAATAACCAACGTAAACTATATACTCTGACAACCTAATTTTCCATACAAGTTTTGGGCCAAATTTTGTGGCTTTCCAAACTCTTGTAAACTTGCCCGTGAGTTTAATCT